GAAATTGCATTTAACCGCACTGTGCATAAGTGGTTTATGTTTCAATTTTATATGAGCCATTAAATAATCTATAGATAATAATAGACGAGGGCAAAACAAACAACGCAACATTTTACAAATAATGTAAATAAGGATAATACAACAAAAGTTAACTTTACTGTTCGCACTTTTCTAAATTATTAAAAGTAAAAAAAGGCACTCAAAACATACAATGATCAGTGTAGTCACTCGAATCCCAATAACTGTTCAGTCCTGAAGAGTAACTTTTCAGTGCTGAACTCTGCTGTCCTATTTATCACACAGCTGATTGTCCTCATTTAATGTCTTTATGACATATTCAGTACTAGGTATTACTCTGTCCCACTTGGTTGTAAACTTATATATACATTTTTGTATAATTAACCATAAGTGGTCACTTGCAGTTGGATATTGCAGTTGAAGCACGTGAAACGTCTTGAAACAGGCGTCGACAGCTTCTATAAGCGAAGATGTATTGTACAACACATCGTCAACGCATAAATAACAAGTGGTGATTTCATGTAGTGTAGGTCCAATAATGAAGATGTACGGTTGAATGGTTAGTTTCAATTCCTTACATTTCTTGACATACTCTTCTCTGAGTTTTGTAACATCACCAGGAATCTAAACAGTATTATTTATAACTGTACACAACCTGAATACAGGAGATCCAACGTTTTGTACGACAAAATACTTTAAAAAAATGATACTAAATGTACAAAAAATTATGTTAACTATAAAATCAATAACAAGTTACTTCCAATGTCTATTCAAAACATTAGTGGAAACAATAAAAAAATCGTGATAAAACAAAGTATCTTGCATGACACAACGACTTGAAAGATTAACATGCACCATATTATAAAAAAATTCATCTTCGACAATGATTGCGAAACATGTCCTTGTATTGGATATAAAATATTACTAACCACTGCGTGCTTAATAATGCTATCCTTTGCATCCCAAATGGACGGTCTCCAATATTTGTCTTTACGTCTAGTCATTTTCTTTGGAGGAAATAAATGAGGTAATATCATAATTTGTAAAGCGATTTTGGAATCTAAGACAATGAAGACAATGATTTATCGAAATACGTTTTTTTTAAATAAGGTAAAATATATTTAAAAAAACGAACCTTCATTAATGTTCGTATCTAGCAATGTTTCCATTAGAAATTGTAACTGATCATCTTTCTGACTTGGTTTTACACAGCTTTTAAGTTGATGAAAAAATGCGTCCCATTTATCTACTGTTAATGTTTCTTGACTTAAAGCCATACGTTGAAAATCGTCAATTATTAAACTATAACCGTGTGGATGCTTCAAAATAGGCCAAGTGGAAAAAGTATCGTTTAGTGTATTTTCTTTTGATTTTTCCAGATTTACTCGACGAATACTGAACGTTTTATGCCAGTGCTGGAGTACAAGTTCCCATGGCATTTGATTACTTTGCAACCAGCGCATACTCTCTTGTGCCTCAGAATTTTCATTCACATCTATATTTTCATTCATATCTATAGAAAGTAAAATAATTTGTACAATAAAAGAAAATGTAAACAAATTGAAGAAAAAATTATATCACAACAAGATCCGAATACGTTTTAAGTGATCTTACCATTTTCGTCAGAATCACTTATTGAATGTGTTGCTGACCATGACTTTTCTAATTTTCTGGAGGCCAATGTACGATTTCTCCATAAATTTATCAATTTTCCACGTGCTGGTATTGATTTTTTTAAAACGGAATCTTTCTTTTTAATAGGCGGTACATAATAAGTACTTGATACCTCCGTTGGAAAATCAGCAATGATTAAATTTGCTATCTTTTCAGCACTTTCATTATTTAGGCTAAATATTATAAATAGAAATTAGTTGTGCGTACAAATAATATGAAACATAGGACATTTGGAACCAACACCTGAGGGACATAAAATGGATAGAGATGAAGAAAAACTTAACATCATATATCGTGTTGCAGTATTTGTAATAGTTACTGAAATAAAAATTATTGAAATTTGAGTAAAGAACGTTGTCGAGGAAGAACGATTGTAATTGCATTCAGGCTATTAGTGCAACACTTTTCATTTATAGTAATAATTTTTGTTGTGCTGTGACACATAGAAGCAGTCAATTACCAAGTACCAGCAATTTTATATGATTGATATATGAAATTTACTGTAAGCCCGAACAACACGAGATAATAAAACAGTTCTTCTTAATGCGGATGCTTTTTAATCCGATTACACTAAATTACATCACAATAATTGTAGCAAATATCGAAAAACGGTGTTTTTGCTCATCTCAATCCGTTGTATGTTCGCAGCGGGTGCCGGTATCTATGTATAAAATTAAATTTTATACCGTCCAAGACGATTCTCAACGTCTGTGATAACCATGTCACAAATATTATTTCTTGTTTTTTCTGATAATTCTTTTTCTCTTGCGTACGTTTTCAATATTCTCTGGCCAGCTACGCATTTTTGTAAAATATCTTTCACTGGTCTTAAACGAAATTCAGTTAATGGTATATCTGAATTATTTTGAACAAGTTCATTGGTGAGTGGTCGATCATTACTTTCTTCATTATTATTTGTTTTCTAGAATTATATATAAAAAACGATATTTTGAATAATTTGAATATAATAAATGTTGCTTACAAACTGATTGTCATCGTTGAATAAAAGCATCTTCTCTTTAAGCAGTAAGTTAATTTTCTTCTCATTTAATATCTTTTTTTTTATCAAAATACTACTTTTACTGAATTTTTCTTAACATTTATTGCTTATTAAAATGTGTAACTGTGTGATGACAAAATATATATTTCTGAGAATATATATTTTTTTATTCTCTATATTATACAGTAAAAAACATTTTGTATATATGTCGGAAACGGTTCACTCACGTTTTTCTTAAAAGTTTGTGTCAAATTTTTACATATGTGCTTGTTAAATTAACATAATGTAATGTTGTTATTTAAATATTTTGTGTTAAATTGATACTCAATATTTTTCAATATCAAAATAACACAATTTATGAGTAAGAAAATAAATAACATAAAAATAAAGTAGTTTTAAACCGTAAATTCTAAGATAAATGAATAATAGATAAATACACATACTTGTTAATTTTACTGAAGAATAATGTTTCCATAATTTGTTTCAAAATTGTATTATAGTGTTACATATTTTATATTAATTTTTACACAATGTTTATGTTACTTTCTAACAGATTCATCTTGCGTTTAATTAACACGAAAATTTGAGTGAATCGTTGAGACATGTGAGATGTGTTAAATTTAATACAAATTTTTCAACTGTATAATATAAATAATAATAAATATTTTCACTAAAATTTTTCTATTTTACCTTAAATTTATATACACATATATATTTTCTTATTTTTTAAATAACTTTTATAAAATTAAATTTCAAAGATAATTTACTCTTTCAACATAAATTATTTTTAATTTATTTTATATCATGCACAATTAATATCTCACGGTTTTCTTTGACTTAGGTACATCATCCTTATCTATGTCGGGACGCAACAGACTTTTTTTGAAATTTTTTCGCCAATAAGACAAAAAAATAGCCCTTTGCCCAATAACTGGAATCAGTTCCGCAATCATTTCCTTCGACAATACTTGTAAAATATTAGTTGTAACTTTTTGTTCTATAAAATAAATGTGTGCATTTACTAAACGAAAAATTTATTTTGATATCTTTATTCATTAACATTATTTAACACAAATAACAATCGAACCAAATAATCGAGATTAATTCTCAGAATGCCTAATAATATTTTTATACAAATTTTTAATATATTTTCAGTTTCATAAACTACACGCCGATTACTGCCAGACTTGTGACGTTATCATGACTGAAATATTACAAATAAATTGATTGCAATTTAATAATAGTAACAAACTTCTCGCAATGTTTTAAGATGCTTATATATTAGCATTATTATTGTTATTAAATTAACAATCAGTTTAATTTGTGATATTATTACTCCAGTTTCAGTTTATAATTGCATTGCAAATCCGACAATAATCAGCGCCAAGTTTATAGAATTGAAAATGTATTTAAAATTGTATTATTAAATTGCGATCAATTTATTTATAATATTTCAGTTTATGATAGCGTCACAAGTCTGGCAGTAATTGGCGTGTAGTTTATGAAACTGAAAATATATTAAAAATTTGCATAAAAATATTATTAGGCATTCTGAGAATCAATCTCGATTATTTGGTTCGATTATTATTTGTGTCTAATAATGTTAATGAATAAAGATATCAAAATAAATTTTTCATTTTAAGCCATAAATTAAATTAGTTATTCGTGCAAGTAATCAGATTCTAAAGACTTACTTTCAAAAACTGGAATCAATTCTTGTAATTGAAGACTGCGTAATATGTCATTTATGTCTTTGTCTGCCATGGTGTCTGCCATGATGTCTGGCATAATATCTAGCATTATGAAATTTTAATTTCAGAAATACATAATATTTCAAAAAGTTGTGGAGAATTGTTGAAATACAGCTCG